GAGAGAGGCCAGTGTCCCTTCTGTGGGGTCTGATGGGTTGTGTGAAGGTTAAAAGAGCCATTGGCCACCATCCCTCATCTCCAATTGAAATAACTGTCAAGTTCACTAAGACGTCAAATGAGGTTCATAACTTTGGATCTTTCTATTCCCTTCACAAAACACCCAAGAAATATTTACTGAGCAATTATTATGAGTCAGTCATTGTTCCTTCTTATTAAAAAAGAAAAAAGTCAACGTGGTAGAAACTGATCAAAGATTTCTGATACTAATGATCACCCAACACATCAGCACATGATCGTGATCATAGAACGATGATGATGGTGATGACAATGACAACAGTGATAACAGTACCGTCAACTCTGACTCATGGCAGCCCCCTGTGTGTCACAGTGCAACTGTGCTCCATAGGGTTCCCAGTGGATTTTTTTTTTTTTTTTTTAAGAAATAGATTGCCAGGTCTTCCTTGAGGAACCTCTGGGTGGACTTGAACCTTCAATCTTTGGGTTAGCAGCGAAGCACACTGAACATTCATACCACCGTTTATTGAGGGTTTGCTAAGCGTATGTCCCTGGGCTTCAGTGCTTTGCATGAATTGGCTCATTTTACCCTCCCAGTGGCCCTTTGGTGGGGGAATTGATAGTATTTCCATTTTACAGACAGGAAGACTGAGTCTCCAAAAGGTTTCACAATCCCAGGAGAGGCAGCCTGGAATAATGGGGAGAATACTGGACTCAACGGCACACACAACAACAACAACTGGCCTGGGCGGTGGGATGCTGGGGTCCTTGATCAGCCCTGCCACTCACGCACTTTGTCATTTCAAATCAGTTACCCCCATTCTTTCTGTGCCTCAGTGTCCTCAACTTTGAATTAAGTCTTTGAATCTCTCAGGTCTGAAAACTGTGTGATGAGAACTACAAAAATCGTAATGAAAGAGGTTTGGGGGAAGGAAGGCAGCAGGGGCCGACTGCACGGGATGAAAGACTTATTTTGGGAGGCTGTCGAGGTCTGGCATTCAACCACCCCAAGGAAGCTGACATGCAGCTGGCACTTTGCTGATTCAGAGGAAGAGCAGAGTAGGAGAGAGGAGCCAGACTCACTGAGAGTCTGCAATCAGAGAGCATGTCTTCATGATTTGCCATTCTAATTCTCAACGACAAACACTGGGGCACCGGCAGCAGTGATAACCGGTTCAAGGAAGTGGGGGTTAGGGAGGAATTAAAATTAAAAAAAAAAAAAAAACACAAAAAAACACTGCATTTGGTGAAGCACTGGGAACCGTCTGAGCTCCTAAATTTAAAGGGGTATTTTTAGCACCTGTAATCAAACCAACTTGCGTAAACACATCTGCTGGAGGGTTGGCATCAGAATGTCTTTGCCGTCTTCATGTTCTCTCTTGCAGCCCTCCTGGGACTGAGGGAGGGTTTCACTGATTTTCTTCCTTTCCTTATGTTTTTCCAAATCAACTGAGTGAGAAAGTCAAATGGAATATTTCTTTCTTTCGTTTTTTTTTTTCCTCAGTCAAAGCTGCTGGGTCCCTACCCGGGGTGGGGAAGCAAGGAGATTCTCAAGTCTGAGGGTGAGGGCATCTGGGGACTGGGTATAAAATGCAGATTCCTGGGCTCTGCCCACCGATTCCAGAGGGCTGGTGGGAGCCCAGGAATCTGCATTTGACACAACCTTCTTAGGCCATTCTGATGCAGGTGATCTGAAGATCATGGAGATAGACTGGGCTTGGGGGAATCAAGCAGGCCTAGATTCTGTCTCTGTCCCACACCAGCTGTTGACCCTGAGCAAGTTCCTTCATCAATTTGAACATCGATCATCTCATTTGTAAAACGAGGATATTTGTTGTTGTTGTTGTTGTTATGTGCTGTTGAGTCAGTTGCAACTCACAGTGATCCCACATACAACAGAACGACACACAGCCTAGTACTGCACCATCCTCACAGTCATTGCTATAAGTGAGCCCATCATTGTTGCAGTCACTGAGCCAATCCATCTTGTTGAGGGTCTTCCTCTTTTTCACTGACCCTCTACTTTGCCAAGCATGACGTCCTTCTCCAGGGATTGATCCCTCCTGAGAACATATCCAAGATACTTGAGAAGAAGTCTCACCATTCCTGCATCTAAGGAGCATTCTGGCTGTACTTTCTCCCAAGACAGATAGGTTCATACTTCTGGCAGTCCATGGTATACTCAATATTCTTTGCCAGCTCCATAATTCAAAGGCATCAGTGAATATTAATAGTACCCACCAGAAAACACTGTTGTGCAGATTTAACTTGACATAGTAGCTGAGCCCAGTTTCAGGCATGTAATAAGTGATCCATAAATGTTAGCTATTATCATTATTATAACTAGCCGGGCAAGTTATACTTTCTGACCCTCAGTTCTATACCTGCAAAACGGAAATAACTGCAATACCTTAAAATCAGCTTTAATTCAGGAGTTTGGTATGGAATGAGAAAATATCTGCGAAAGTCTTAGCACGTTGTCTGGCACATAGCAGGTGTCTGGTAGATGTTTGCTTAATGAATGAATGAGTACAATGAGTGGTTCAGTGCTGACCTCCCACAAGCTACAGACAAGACAGCACAGAGTGATTATCGGAGAATGACTCCTCTCCCACACCATGAGGTGGCTTGATCAGATGCCCATTGAGTAGGGTTCTTGGTCTCTAGACCCTCACTTCTTGGAGTCATTGTGCCGTCACTAACCCTGATCCTGATGCTCCCTGGACCCTCACCCACTCCCAGCTGCACCCCCACTTACCCTAAGAGAAATGACTCCAATGGATCTGCCTCACTAAAGCCCCTTCCCCACCCAGAGATGGCACGGGCATCTTGAGGGGAGGAAGGTGGCACGTAAGGTCCTCACATGTCTGCTGGTTATCCTCTTTGTGACTTGGGGAAAAACACAGCACATCTTTGTAAAAGAGCTGTTGAGGAAATCAGTGCATCCTTTGTGACCCAGGATGGTAAGCGTCTGTCTGCATGCCCATTCCTCACTGAACTGTGCAACCTCACCCAATCAGTTTTCTGAAGGTTGGCTGTCCAGGTCTATGCCGGGCAATTGTAGGTTGCATTCTGTACAATAAATGGGGACTGAATGACTGAAAGATTGAACAACTGAATAATGATGGATGTCCATTCAAGAGCTCAGCTCACTGCTGCCCCCATCCTGTAAGAGCCAGAAGGACAAGCAGACAGTGAGTCTTAATCATGCTCAACCCAAAACCAAACCCACTGCCCACTGAGTCGATTCCTACTCCTAGTGACTCCATAGGGCAGAGTAGAACGTCCCTATACAGTTTCCAAGGCTGTAATCTTTACAGAAGCATATTGCCACCTTTTTCTCCTGTGGAGCCACTGGTGGGTTTGAACTGCCAACCTTTTGGTTCACAGTCGGGAGCTTTATTCAGTGTGCCACCAGGGTTCATTTGTCATGTGCACTTGTGGCCAGAAAGGCAGGAAGGCATTCTGGGAGAGAATGGGGTTACTGACGTGACCTAGTAAGGAGGAGGCTGTGTCTTGCCTGATCACTACTGGCCTTGCTGGCAAGTCTGTTGTTAATTGCTTTTAGCTGCTGTGGACTTGATGCACAATGGGACAAAACACTGCCCAGTCTGGCACCATCCCCTTGATCAGCTGTGGACTGGGCCACTGTGATTCACAGGGTTTCCCTTGGCCAATTTTTGGAAATAGGTTCTCAGGCCTTTCTTCCTAGTGTTTTAGAAGCTCCACCAAAACCTGTTCAGCATCATTGCTGCAGGCAAGCCTCCACTGACAGATGGTTGGTGGCCGCACATGAAGTGTATTGGCTGCGAATCAAACTTGGATCTCCTGCATACAAGGTGAGGATCCTACCCTTAAAACACCAAGGCCTCACACTGACAGATCTACACTTATTCATTGGACAAAGTCTTTAAGCATCATCTCTGGGCCAGAAAAGGTGCCAGGTTCTAGGGACAAAACAAATAGGTCCCTGCCCTCATGGAGCTCACAAACGACTATTACTCGGAATAGTGTGTGGCATGATGGGAGGAAACACAGGCTGCCGTGAAAGCACAGAAGAGGGGCTGCAAACCCAGCAGGTGAGGGAGTGGTCCAGGAAGGTGTGTAATGCAGGATTGAGCCAGGTGAGAAGAGCAGGGAAAGTAGCTCCTGGTCAAGGGAACTGTATATGCAAAGACATGAAATCATGACGTGTTTGGAGAGAACTCCATGTGGTTGAGATGCTTGGAACAAAGGATGCAGGAGGAGGAAGGCAGGAGCAGTAATGGACTGGGACCAGTTCAGGGACCAATTCATTGGAGAGGGAGGCTCCTGAGGTATGGTCTGGTGCTGTCACCTGTCAGTTTGTTGTACTGTGGTGGCTTACTTGTTGCAATGATGCTAGAAGCTCTGCCAATGGTGTTTCAAATACCATTGGTATCTCACCATGGTGGATGCACATTAGTGAAGCTTCTAGACGACAAAAGACCAGGAAGGAAAGTCCTGGTGACCCATCTCCACAAATTAGCCAATAAAAACCCTATGGATCACAAGGCTGGAAGATGAGCCCCCTAGGTTAGGAGTCACTCAGTACACAGTGACCCTAACCATGGACTTGAACACACCAACAGTCGTGAGCAAGCAGCAGATTGTTCTGTTGCTCGTGGGGTTGCCATGAGTTGGTACAACTCAACAACAACTGGCATCGGAAAGCCCTGTCAGGGAGTCTGGACTGCTCTCATCTCGGTGAGAATCCAGTGAAGGGTTTCAAGCAAGGCAGTGACTCAGGGAGATGATGCCCCTAGCTGCCGAGAAGGAGAAAGATTGGACGAGGAGCGATAGGGGACAGGGAGGCCAATTAAAGGCTGTAATCCAGAATCTGAATGGCACAGCTACTTGTCAGAGTAATTCTTTGAGGCATCTGGGTGTTGATTGTCGGCAATCTTCCCCGGCCTTCGTGTGTTTGTGGTGACTATGAACTGTGCAGAGAAAAGTCATTGAATCATGCCGGCCAGCTGCACTGCACACTTAGCCCTGCCCAGTGGCTGCATTCTTTTGCAGGAGAATCGTGAGTTGTACTGCAAGGGAGAGGGGGGCTTGGGTCAGCTCCCGCTCAGTAAACCCCCAATGTGCCCCATGTTGTCGCATCCTTAAAAAGCACCAGCTATTACGCCGCATCGTTCCCACTCCGGAAAGCGTCAGATCGCCTAGTCAATTACCAGTCGAGTGGGGTAATGTGCGTTTCACTCGGTGCCTCTCATTTCAGATACACAAGACCGGATATGAAATGAAATGTTCGGGAGTTATCTTTTTTTTTTTTTTTTTTTCCCCAGCCAGCGATTAGTGCTGTCATTAAGGAGGCATTGTGCCTGATTTCCAATCTTTTTTTCTTTATTTGAATTTAATTGATTTTCTCCTTGATTCAATCAACCTGAATTCTGCTATCTGGTGCCCTTCTCCACTCAGATGCTCGGAACTCTGATCTTTAAAGAGGTAGGGCCAGGCCTGGGAAGCAGGAGGTGTGGCTGGTCCTGTTAGCCTGGTATGAGAGGGGCAGAGAAGCTGGGTGGTTCTGTTTAGGGTTAGAGAAGAAGGGCTGGGTTTAGATCTCGGAAACTCCATTCTGCTGTGTGGCTCTGGGTGAGTTATTTCCCCACTCTGTGCCTCAGTTTCCTCATCTGTAAAACAGGAGGAGTCACAGTGTCATCTCATAGCCTGTGATGAGGATTAAATGATGCATAAAGCCCGAAGACCCATGCATGAGAGATAAGAGCTAAAAATAGTGCCAAGCAGCACTCATCATCTCCCTCATATTGTCTAGCCAGTAGCCCATCTAACCCCCAGGCATCCCTGAAGACTGAGTTATTCACATCTAAGGTGAAGAGACTGAAGCTCACAGCCAGTAAGTGGCTGAGCAAGGATTCAACTTCTGGTCTGCTCTGCTCCGAAGCCCCTGCTCACATATCTTGTTTCTCCTACCCATGTGGAACATGAGGAGACAGAGCCTTCTCACATTAAGTTCCTTCCTCAAGGTCGTTCAGCTAGTGGTGGCAGAGCTGGCACCTGCATCAAAGTCATCTCGGTGCAGGGACCATCTGTGCACCACGGCTGTCTCTCAGAGAAGGCAGGCACGTTCTTCAAAGCCACACAGCAGTTCAGAGCTATGCAGTACATAAGTCCAGCTGCTCTTGACCTGGTCTTTCAAGAGTCCAGACCTGTGACCAAAGACATTCACATGCACAGTATGGTCCTTGTGCATACACCCAAGGTTGTGTCACGTTGCATTCTCACCATACCTTCCCTGCTCATGAAAGCTCATCAGAACACAGCTGAGGGTGAGGACCTGTCGAAGAAGAGGAGTCCCCAACCCACTCACTTAGTCATTTAACAGACAGTAATTGGGAACTAACTATATGCCAGGTATTGTTCAGGGCTCTGAGAAAGTAGCCATTAATGAAACCCTGCCCTCATGGAACCTACATGATAGTAGGGGAACTCATGCAAATAAATAAATAAAGCTATAAATGACTGTATTAGAAGACAGTAACTCTGGCAAAGGGAAATAAAGTAGGATATGAACCCAACAGAGAGGGATTCTGACTTTCAATAGGGTTGTCAAGGAAGATAAATGGGGAAGGTGACATCTGAGCAAAGACTTGAAGATGGTGAGGGAGGAAGTCATGAGGATATCTGGGAAAAGAGCAGTTCAGGCAGCAAGAACAGCACGTGCAAAGGCCCTGAGACAGGAATGTAACTGGCATGTCAGAGAACAGCAAGGAGGCCAATGGGGCCGGAGTGGAGAGAGCAAGAAGACAGAACTAGGAAGTGGGGTCAGAATGGAGCCAAGGGCCCTATTGCATGGGCTGCGTTAACTACTTGGGCTTCAGGGAAACTATTGGAGGGGTTTGGACCGAGAAGAGCCATTGGCGGGCTTTAGTCTTCGCACACAGGATCCCTCCAGCTGTGCTGTGGGGGGGTAGATTTTAGGGGAGCAAGGGTGGGAACAGGCAGATGGGCTAGGAGGCTCTGGCAATGATGCAGGTGGGACCAGGGTGGTAGCCATCTAAGAAGGCAGGAGTGAGTGGGTTCTGGACCATTTTGAAGGTGGCATCTAGATTGGCTGACAGGCTGGATCCGGGCTGTGAGAGAGAAGTCAAGGACAACTCCAAGGTTACCAAGTGAACAGCTGGAAGGAGCTACCATGAGCTGAAGTGATGAAGATTCATGTATTTATACACATAGAAATATATATGTCAGAAACCACTCCCAAATGTTGGTCTCTAGTCATCATCAGTAACAAACCATGGTGGCACAAGGGCTAAACACTCAGCTGCTATCTGAAAGGTCAGCAGTTCAAACCTACCAGCTGCTCTGCAGGAGAAAGATGAGGCAGTCTGCTTCCATAAAGATTTACAGTCTTGGAAACCCCATGGAGCGCTTCTGCCTTGTCCTTTGGGGTTGCTGCGGATTGAAATCGACTTGATAGCAGTAGGTGACAAGCCCATGACAGGGCTTACAATTCATGGTGACAGATCAGCATGTCCAGGCGGCTGATGATCACTGACATGGACTGCAGGGAGAGATTGTCTCCATGAGTCTGCAGTATCCCCGGCTCTGGCTTTTGGGTCTGGCGATCAGCCTCATAATTCCACAGGAGGTGCTGGCGGGGGGCTGACCCCCAGTGGGGGGTCTCTGAAGGGCTCTCCTGTGAGTATGAGCCGAGACAGACCCTCCACCAGCAGACGGAGCCCACAGCCTATCAGGCACTATTCTTCCTCCCCTGTAAGGTGTGAAGTGAGACAGGGTGGACAATGCCAGCATCACCCAGCCCCTTACCCCTTCCTCCATCCCTCCCATCTCCCTTCCAGCTGGTGGAATTTGGGAATCTGCAGACCTATAGGGGCCTTGGCTGAAAACATTGGATTGATCTCCAATGGTCAAACAAACAAACAAAATGGAGTTTGTGTGTGATGTTCTTCCTGCTTTCCAATTGCAGCAAAGGACAAAAGCCTGTTTTCTTCCTGAGCCTGTCAGTGCAGGAGGGTGCTTTGAAAGGCTGAGGCAGCCCGCGGATGCTCCAGCCTGGGGCGTGGAGGGTGATGGCTTCTCACGGACCAGTGCCAGACCCAGCAGCCCAGCATGACTTCCTGGCCCTCTGGCCAGCACCTCCACTCCCAACCCCCTGGACCTCCAGCCAGCAAACACAGCAGGCAGAAGGGCTAAGGGGGGATCTCCCCCAGGAGAGCCCTCGTGGGCTGGGAACCTAAAGCACACGGTGTCGGGGGACCAGAGTTCTGCTTACCGCTCTGCCACTTAGTGACTGTGTGACTCAGTTTCCTCTCTGTGTCTTACCAATCTGAATATCTACCCTGAGAGTGCTGGGGTCTGAGGTCGGGAAAGAGGATGACAGGAAGGGAGGAGTGAAGTCTGGTTTTCCAGGATTCAGGGGCCCCTTGTGAAAGTTCCAGAAAGCATTTTCCTGCTGGCTGGCCACTTGGAGGGACATAGCTGTGGCTCAGGGCAGCCGAGCAGCCCCCTCTCAGTGCCAAGGCACAGTGCTGCCATCACCCTGCCCTCGTGCCCTCGACAGCCAGACTGAGAGGACCTGCGATTCCTCGCCTGTGGGCTGTCTGGCCACCCAGCACTCTGCTCACACACTCAGGCAGGGACGAGGGCCCCTTAGGGGCAGCCTCAGCCCGTGACTGGTGGGAGCTGCTGGGTGGACACCCCAGCCCCTCGTGCCTCCGGTGGGATGGCTCCACGCCGGCCCCGAACTGCTCAGCGGGCTTAAGCCCCAGTTGTCCTCAGAGGTAACTGGCTTGATGGAGACTCTTCATTGCCTCCTCTTTTCTCTGTCTCCCTTCCTCACTTCCACCACTCCCCAGCCCAGAACATGCTGGCATTACATCACAAATTCACTGTTTCACTCTGAATCTTTGTCCTGAGGTTGGGTTTAAGGGAATGGTCCCATTCCCCAAACTCCCATTCCCATTGGCTAGTCAGCTGGTGCTTCAGAGAAGGGGCTGGTCTGACCATTCAGACCTGAGCTGACTCTGCAGCTGCCCAGAAAAGCTCTGGGTGTGGATCGTGGGCCTGGGCCTGTGCTGGAGGAGAAGAACAGCCAGGCTTCTAGATACGCGGAGGAGACCCAACCGGTAAGAGTAAGACTTGGCCGTGCGGAGACACAGGGAGAAGGCATCAACAGTGGGGAGAGCAGCGCGAACAAGGCGTCAAACCTGGAACAGCTTTTTAATGTCTTGAAAAGCTTGACAGTATCTCCCATCGGGTGTTACTGTGAACACTCATAAAATCCACTGCCACGGAGCTGCTTCCAACTCACAGGGACCCTATAGGACAGAGCAGAACTACTGCATAGGGCTTCGAAGGCCTATCTTTACAGAAGCAGACTGCCTTAACTTTCTCCCACAGAGTGGCTGGTGGGTTTGAACCACTTGCCTTTTGGTTAGCAGCTCAGTGCTTTAACCACAGTGCCCCAGAACTCCTTTGACCATTCGCAGTGAATATACATAAAACTCTTGCCATGGCCCATGCACTTCACAACATGCATCACTCCCTGAGGCCTTACCAGAGCCCCCAGGAAGCAGGAAGCATTACACTTTCCATTTTGCAGCTGGGGAAACTGAGGCACGGAAAGTGAATTGGTAGGCCAAAGTCACATAACACAGACATGGCACAGCTGGGACTCGAACCCAGGTCTCTGGGTTTAGAGAGAGTCTGACAATGGTGGAAGAAACATCTGGAGGAGAAAAGGGTAGACTTGGGGGCCAGGGGTCCTGAGAGGCTCTGCAACACCAAGCAAAGGGATTCCATTTGTCCTTGGCACCCTGGGGCTGAGGAGCTGGGGACTATGGAAGCTGGGCGGGGACAGTCAGGCCTTGACAGCAGGACCCCAGGGCAGAGTCATGTGCTGCTGCTGTGTGCGGCGTCCTGCGTGCGGCGTCCTGTGCGTACCATTCCTGTACACACCATTCCTGTGTGTACCATTCCTGTGTGTGGCATCCTGTGTGTGGCATCCTGTGAGCCCCATTCCTGTGCATGATGTCTTGT